TGTACTGATGAGGGGGCTGAGATACAGAAAGGTTAAGTAACTTTCCTAAAGTTACACAACGAGCAAGTGACAGAGCTGGGCTTTTGAACTGAGGCAACCTGGCTCTCCTCTCTACCTTTATGGCTTCTCTGTCCATCGAGGCTCAGAGAGGACAGATAACATGGGAATGATCACACAGCAATTGGGTGGTAGAACAAAATTTTAAGAGAGATCACCTTCTTGAGAAGCCTTTATTATTTACTACTTTTCTAGAAGGAAGGTGGAAGTTTTAATTACTTATTTAAGACCTGGTTTTCTGTTACTGGCAAATTCATATGAGAATCCTGTTTCTCCCAACTGCCAGGCGACCTCAAATGCAGGTTGCCAGTTTTAAATGAAGCATGTTACTGGGCATGGATTTTTTTTTGTAATCTGTAAAGGCTCTGGCCTGAAGCAGAGATAAGAGCCATCTAAAGGTCAAGTCTTGAAGGAGTCAAAATATGTCCATAGCTCCTGGGGGGAAGGAGGAACAACCAAGATATCATCTGTTCTTGTGTGGCTTAGAGTTAAAAATGATCTAAATCCATTTGTTTTCATGCAGAAAGTAAGATGGGGGAAGAGTCACTGGAGTAAGATGCTCTAGGAACCTAGATTCAGATGATCCTTTCTCTCTGGCAAAAGCACCAGGCTTTTGACCTAACTAAGAGTAATGTGTAGCAAAGACTCAGAGACTCAGAGCACAAGGATAGAAACAGGAAGCTGGCGGGAGGGCAGGGCCTGCCTGTGGGTGCACATCCGGGTACGAGGTTTGCCCGAGGAGGGTCCCGAAAGCTCCTTCACTGCGGGCTTGGACCCCAGTGGATGGTGCTATTGGGAGGCAGTGCGACTGTCAGGAGGCTGGGTCTGGTGGAGGAAGTTTGGTCATTGGGAGTGTGGCCTTGGAGAGGACGATGGGACCTGGACCTCTGTGTGCTGCCCCCCTTGACCCTGCTTCCTGCTGCCTTGAAGTGAGCAGCTCTGTTGTCCATGGTCTCTGTCCTGGTGATTCTGCCTGACCGCAGGCCTCACAGCAGCAGGGCCAGCTGACCACGGACAGATCCTCTAAAACTGTGAGTCAAACATTTTCATGATTTAAGCTGTTTTCTCAGGCATTTTGTCACAGTGTTGCAGACCTGACAGACACACTTGTGTGGAGGACACACTTGTGTTGAGGGGCGCTTTTACCTCTTTTACCGTGGATGCCATCCTATGGTACATGCCTATAATCCTAGCACTCAGGAAGCTGAAGCAAGAGGATCGCGCCAAGTTCAAGGCCAGCTACATAGCGAGTTCAAGGGCAGCCTGAATTACATAGGGAGACCCTGTCTCCAAAATAAAATTTGAGGTGATTTATTTGCAGGAAAGCAGCCTCTGTAACAGGAGCTCCCTGTTGGCTGGGTTTTGTTTTTATCAACTGCTGTCTGAGCACCTGCACATAGGTGGTGCTCAGCGAGTTTGTGTTGATAAGCAGAACCCTCCTGCCTCTGTGCTCTCAGCTATGAGCTTTCATGTCTGTGCTGTCATGTGTCACATTGGGCTTTGAAGTTTTGTATGACACGAATCTGGACAAGAGATATTTCCAAAACCATGTAAACTATCCATCAATGAGAGAAAAGGTGAGCAAACTGCACCTCAATATGGCAGAAACCAGTGCAGAGAGAACACAGAGGGGATGACTGAGTCACACACCAGCACAAGGAGTTTTCAAGATGTGATGCTGAGTGAAAGAAGCTAGGCACTAGGTGTTTGATCCCATTCATATGATGCTCTAGGACAGCCAGAGTCAACCTCCACATACAGAGATCTGAATGTGGCTCTGCAAGGAGGGAGTAGAGGTGTACTAGAAAAAGAAAACTGCTGGCCGTGGTGAGAGGCACATGCCTGTAATCACAGCATGAGTTTGAGGACCACCTAGAATACATAGTGAGACCCTATCTCAGAGAGAGAGAGAGAGAGAGAGAGAGGGAGAACACTCCATGGAGGGATGGATGAACTCTGTAGCTTGTCTTGGGTGTGTAGGTGTATGTGTATGTACATATTTGGGGAAAATCACCCAACCAAGAGGCTGGGGTGGCTCAGTGGTAGAGCACTTGCTAGCATGTTCAAGGCCTTGGGTTCAACTTCCAGTATGACAAAGAAACACACACACTGAAGAATCATGTAATTATTGTATATTAAAAAGTTATGTTTTGGTTTTTGTTTTGAGACAGGGTCTCACTATATAGTCTTCCAAGTGCTGGGGATAACAAGCATGTACCACCATGTCCTGTTAAAATGCTTAAGCTTCTGAAACACTTTTTGATCATTCACTTTTCAGAATCAGAACCAGCAGATCCAAGGAAGCAAAAAGGCATTAGCAAATTCTTCTGTTGCTGGTTTTGGACTGTTTTTGTGGGATTTTTTTTCCATTAAGTTTATTGGTACATTTAAGGTAAACAATACAGTTACATTCATCATTGGGATCTAGTACCTTTACACGATGTATCTTGGTTCTTATTTTTTCCCCATTCCCCTGCCCTCCCTTTACCCCCTCCACCCTTCCCTATTTACAATGATTTTGTTTCCATTTTTTCCTTTTTGTCATAGTTTTTCCTTCCCTTATTTCCTTTTCCCTACCATTCTCACTTCCCCTTCTCCTTTAGACCTTTTCTTCCTATTTCACATTATCAATTATACCATTTGAGCCTTATTTACACTTCTAGTTTTTCACACCAGAGAAACTATTAGGTATTTACTCATGTATCCTATTTATTTCACTTAAGAGTATGGACTCAGTGTGCATCCATTTAGCTCTAAATGTCTATAGTTCCTTATTTTTTATGGCTGAGTAGTACTCCATTTTATAGGAAAACCACATCTTCTTCATCCAGTCTCCAGTTGATGGGCAATTGGGCTGTTTCCAAATTTTAGCTATTACAAACCGTGCAGCTGTAAACATGGGTGCACATATATCACTGTGGTATGATTCTTTTAATTCTTTTGGAAAGATAATCCAGCAGAGGGATAGCTGGGTCAAATGGGACTTCTAGCCCTAGTTCTTTAAGGTATCTCCATATTGATTTCCACAGTGGTTGCACCAGTCTGCACTCCCACCAATGGAGAAGGGTTCCTTTTTCCCCACAGATGAGCCAACATTTGTTACTGGTTGATTTCTTGATAGCAGCCATTCTTTCTGGGGGAAGGTGGAATCTCAGTGTTGTTTTCATCCACAACTCTCGAATGACCAGTGATGATTAACATTTTTTCATACATTTATTTGCTCTTTTTACTTGTTTGTCTGAGAATTGTCTGTTCATTTCAGATGCCCATTTTTGAATTAGGTCTTTTTTTGAGGGTTTTTGTTTGTTTGTTTGTTTGTTTTTTGGTACCGGGGATTGAACTCTGGGCCTTGCACTTGCTAGGCAGGCAGTGGAACCACTGAGCTAAATCCCTACCCCTTTTTGAGTTCTGTGTATATTCTAGATAGTAGTCCTTTGTCTGAGGAACAGCCAGTAAAATTTTTTTCCCATATTGTAGGTTGTCTCTTAGATCTGTTGGTGTTTTGTCTTACACTGCAGAAGCTTTTTCATAGGATGAGATTCCAGTTGTTGATTCTTTGTGTAAGTTCCTATGCTACTGAGGTTTTGTTCATAAAGTCTTTTCGTATGCCAAAGTCTTTGAGAGTTCTACCTTATTTTCCATCAAGTTTAGTGTTTCTCTTTTGATATTTAGATCTTTAATCCACTTAGATTTTAGTTTAGTGCATGGTGAAAGACAGGGGTCTAGTTTTAATCTTTGGCAAGTTGAAATCCAGTTTTTCCAACACCATTTATTAAAGAGGCTACCTTTTCTCCAATGAGAATGATTGGCTCCTTTGTTACAGATGAGACTAAGAGAATGATACAAAAAAAAAAAATCAATGAATTGAAGGGTTGGTTTTGTGAAAGAATAAATAATATCGATAAATAGCCAACCTTATCAAAAAAAAGGAAAGAAAAGGCTCAGATTCATGTAATTAGAAATGAAAATGGCTTTGGACCGTTTAACTTTAGATCCTTGTTCAAAAAAGTTCTAGTGCTAGTTACCTAACATGCTTAACCAAATGGTGTTTAAAAAAAAATAGAAGTAGGTCATTTATACCAACATATATTCTAAAGAGGGTAAGGAATTAAATGTAAAAATTTAAAGCATGTTTTAAAACTGAAACTACATGGGGACAACTTTTTTAAAAGTATGGCAAATTTGAGTCTGATTACAAACCAGAAAAACACTTGCAACAATTATGATAGAACATAGACTTCTATCTCTTGTGTGCATTGACCTTGTACCACTAAGAAGAAAGTCACCAAAATTCCAGTGGCTGCAAGGACAAAGGCCATGATGATCTCTTACACTGTGTGGTGACTATAGTCAATAATATCTATTGTACATTTCAAAATTACTTTAGAAAATATTTTTAACCTTATCATGAAAATAATATCAGTGAGACTATAGATAGGTTAGTTTGTTCAGTCTTTCTACAGTGCATACATAGGTCAAAACATCACATTGTACCCAATAAATAAACATAATTATAATTTGCCAGTTAAAACTACATGAAGAGTGCCGAGCGTAGTGGCACACACCTGTAATCCCAGCACTCAGGAGGCTGAGGCAGGAGGATCACTGTGAGTTCGAGACCAGCCTGGGCTACATAAGTGAATTCCAGGTCAGGTCAGACTCAACTACATAGTGAGACCCTGTCTCAAAAAACCAAAAACAAATATATATATATATATATATGCATGCATGAAGAGGACCAGGGATTTTAGCTCAGTGGTTCCGCCACTTGCCTCACAAGCACAAGGTCCCAAGTTCAATCCCTGATACCGAAAACTAAACAAAACAAAAACATAAAAAGTGAAAATTTGGGGAAGGAATACAAACAAAAAGTTCGCAAAAGAAATTATGAATTTTATTACCAAGAAAAGAACTACAAATTAATCAAAATCAGGTTGCTGTTGGTCTCCAATCAAGTCAGGAAAGTAGATTTTAAATTAATAGTTAAATGAAGCACTGATGGGCAACTGTTCTTATTATAGTAGGAAACTTTTCACTAGTAGGAAACTTTGCTCTGTCCCCATGTAGCAGGGACCCTAGGAAATTGTAGGAACATTGAAACGTGCAGACACCCATCACAGAAGTCTTCCTGAGGAGATAGTAAAACACAGTTTAATGCTATCAAAAATAAAAATTGTAATGGGAAAGTAAAGATTATAGATTGAACAATGACTCAGTGGAATATCCTGGGTGTAGCCAATAGAATTACTTTACATATCTATCATGCCAAGAGAAAATGTTGGCTTTCTTTTTGTTTTGTTTGTTTGTTTTTTGGCTTTTTGAGATAGGGTCTCACTATGTAGCCCAGGCTGGCCTTGAACTCACAGTGATCCTCTTCCCTCTGCCTTCTGAGTGCTGGGAGTATAGGTATGTACTACCACAGCCAGTGAAAATGTTGGTTTTATAATGTTAGATTTGAAAGAGGAAAAACAGAAAATTGTATATACAGTATGATACTGATTTGACAACTGTACCAGCACATACTTATACTTACATCTACGATTCTACATAATGCAGCAAAAAGAAAACGAGATCCCCCAAATATATTTTCCTGGATTTTATCCAGGCAATTATTTTTGTTTACACTGTCATCCCTTTTCAGATTTAGTACAAAAGCAGGTATTACTTTTGATCATAAAAACCAGTACTTTAAAATAAAGCAGATAAGGACTTGAATGGTATTCTCTTAAATAAACAAAATAATCTTAAAGGCTAAAGCTTAGCAACTTTTTACCTAGATTGTTCAGGTTCTTTGTTAAAATAGCTTCCTTTTCAAGCCTGTACAGGTCCACAAAGAAAATTAAACATTTTCAGCCAACTTGATGGAGCAATTAGATGGCTCTGAGAGGTTTGCATTAATTCCCGCAGACAGGAGGTGGGTGACTCATTTCCAGCTGGATAATTAGGGCCCCTTCTCCCTAGGCTGGCCTGGCTCTGCTTAAGCTTCACATTTTACTCTTTTTTTCACGGGATGCGCAAGGATTGAGGAGTTTAGTGTTGCTGATGTTTACCAGGTGCTTCATTAGGCTTCTCTGGACTGTGTTTAGTAACACGAGCACCCAGTTAACTTCCAAGTCATATGGACCTACAACAGGGCAGCTGGACTGTACCAAAATCACAGGTGAAATCTAGTCTCCCGTTTCTCAAAGTTAAGGAGTGATGCAGGCACCCAAGCCTAAGTGCCACAGTCCATCCCAGAAGGGCCATGAAGCATGAGTTGGAGAGAAAGTGGGGGCTCAGAGGTGGCCCTTCTGTGGAGCATCAGACAGTGCCCTGGGGATTTGTCTGCGTGCAGGTGGCTGGGGAGCCAGATATCCGTGTGTCTTGGTTTCCATTTTCCCTACAGGCAGATCTTGAGACAAGGATCTGGCTGCAGGTAATCTATGTGGGTGTGACTGAAGGTCGCACAGAAAAGGAATGGAAAAGTGACCAAAGAAGGGACAGGCCCTGTATGAGGTATGTTGGAAGCAGGATATAGGTGGCATGGTTGTTCAAGCCTGTAATCACAGCACTCTCAGAGGCTGAAGCAGGAGGATCACAAGTTCAAGCCATGCCTGGGCAACTTAGCAACTAAGAAAGATCCTATATCAAAAAAAGGGGGTAGGAGAGGGGATGTAGCTCAGCATGAAGGTCCTGGGTTTATCAATCTCTCTGGAAATTTTTAAGAATTGTGTAGAACACAATTTATTATTATTTCCCTACTGAAGGTCCAGGGAGCTGAGATATTTATCCACCAATTTCTACCCCATAGTGGTTGAAGTTTGGGTCTTGGGCATTAAGTCCATATCCCTGGCACTTGCAAACTGCCCAGTACTGTTCAGTTATCTACTAAGCGAGAAAAGGCCCAGGTACAGGAATGCAGGGAGCTATGCAGACTGCTTCACCTTGAGGGTCAACCTAGCACCTGCTACCTCCCAGGCCAGCAGGAAGTCCTTTCCTGCAAGGGGCCCCCTCATCTTCCAGGAGTACTATAGCACATGTTTCTTGCCCCAAGGGAGTGGATCTTTGGCTTTCTTCATCCATCCACCCACCACTCATCCAACTATTTTCACTGGGAAGGATGGAAGAGATATGAGAAAAAATAATCAGGATCCTATCTGAAAGAGGAACAGAAAAGGGAAAACTTTGAGATGCACAGTTTTGAAATTTGCTTCTAGAGAGCAAATTGGAATGGAGACTTTGTGCGTTGAATGGATTAGGCAGAAGAAAAGCATAAAAAATACAGTGGAAGTGTTTTAAGTGATATAAATCCATTAATTATATCTAATCATGTTTTAAATATATAGGGAAACAGCAATAGAAGAATCAGTTTATTTTTAATAAATATTTTTAAACTGGCTGTTGTAGTAAGGGTATGCAAGGGAATAGATTTAATACAGGACACATAATGTATAGGATCCTTTTATAATATTCACCTAAAAGGTCAAATGCAGAGGAGTGTAAGAGATCTGTCCGAGCACTAGAGACGCCAAGAATAAGGCCTGGGTCCCACAGCAAGGTCCCTACAAGTCCAGCTGAAGGCCTAAGACCCATGGAAATGTCCTCCACAAGTCCAGCCAGAGGTCTAGAGCCCATGGCAATGTCTCACGCTTGTCCATATTGGGGATCTATACCGGGAAGGCCCAAGGGCTAGTGGTGAAAGCTAGAAAGTCTGTGTTGGCAGGTTGAAGGATCTGTGCCACCAGGTTCAGGGATCTGCACTGGAGCCAGAAAATGACACTTAAGGCAAGGACCAGATCTCCCCTGAAGAAAATAGCAGCCATCCCCAGTGACAGTGAGGACCCAAACTCCTCTGAGGATGAAAACAGTTGAGAGTTCATATCAAGAAAACAGCTTTGGCAAGCTTCTCCAGGAAAATCAACAGCCCATGATCTTTCCCTCTAGTTCTCTTTTTATGCCTTTGGCAACAATTCTCAGGTGGACCCTCCATGCCCAGAACATCCTGACTCAGTTCAACTGGGCTTTCCAAGTTGACCATTAGTCTATCACACTGGCTGTTGTAAATAATGACAAAGGAGTTACAAGGTCAGTGCACAGATTTCTTTATACCCTTCAACCAGCTTTCTTTATACCCTTCAACCAATGTTAATGTCTCATATAACCTTTGATCAATGATCAAAGCCAAGAGTAACATTGATACAACACTGTTAATTGGCTCACAAACCTTGTTCAGATTTCTTCTAGTTGTCACATGAATGTCAGTTCTTCTGGTCCAGGGCCCAGTCAAAAGCTCAGCATTGCATTTGGGAATCATCTCTTTAATGGCCTTCAGTCTGGGACAATTCCTCAGCTTTTCTTTCATCTGTTCCAACTTTCATATTTGAGGCCTTCTAGGAGGTTGTTGTGGAGACAGGTTGTCAGTTTGGGTTTTTCTAACGTTTGTCTGTGATTAAATTTAGGTTGAACATTTTGGGCAAGAGCATGCAGACTCGATTTCATACCTTGTCTGTGTCAGAAGGTGCAACATGCAATGAATCTCATTACAGTGATGCTGATTCTGATTGTTTTATTAAGGTAGTTCCTGTCGGGTTCCTCCACTGTAAAATTCTACCTTTGCCCCTTAAAATTAATAACTATCTTGTGGGAAGATACTTTGAGACTATGCAAATAATTTGTTTTCAAATTTTTCACCTTCTAACTTTTTCCCTATTGATGTTTCTCATCTGGAACAATTATTGCTGTAGAGTTTGCCAAATTTCCGGTTTTCTCATTTCTTGTACATTTATTATTAGGTTTCTGCTGCTATAATTGGGAAAACCTTTCTCTTTCCCCTGTTTATTAATATATTCAATTATTTATTTCTATAATATGGACTCATAGGCACTTACTGTATTCTATAGGTTATGGCTCATTAGCATCTTTAATTTTGTCACTCAAAGTTTTCCATATTCAAGGGTTAGTTTTTTAAAGTATGTTTGCCACAAAAACAAAACAAAACTGTGCATCATCAATCCAAGTCTCTGGTGATTTATGCAATGAAGCAAATTCCTGGGAAGGCTGAAGATAGCAGAGAAGGGTTGCCCAGATAGGCTGTCATCAAGCAGAACTGCCACATCCTCTTAAATACGGAAGCCCTGGCTAGCAAGGATAAGTCAGAAAGTGATCAAGGGACTCTTATTTCCTGGTGTAATTACCTCTGTGCTTCTCCTGCCCTTTAGAGTGGAGCTGAGGCTCAGTCAGAGTGGTGACTTGGCACGGGGGAAGAAAGGTTAGTCACAGGCCTCTACACTGTAAGCAGGCTGCGGGGTATTGAGAGATGACAGTCTACAAGGCTAATAGAGGGAGCACTGGCTTTCATATTCACCAGTCAGCTCTCCACCCAGAGGTGCGGCATGGGGAGAGAGTTGAACTGAATGTGAATTTTTTTTTTTTTTTTTGCCAGCACGGGGGATTCCCAGGGCCTTTGCCTTGAGCTACATCCACAGCCCTTTTTTATTTAGAGACAGAATCTTGCTAAGGGTCTTTAAGTTGTCCAAGATAGGCTTGAACTTTCAATTCTCCTCTCTACACAGCCCCCCAGAGTGCTAGGATTACTGGTTTTGGTTTGAATATGCCCTCCCATGTTTCATGTATTGGAAAAGTTTAGTCTCTAGTGTGGTGACATTAAGAAGTATGGGACCTTTAAGTAGTGAGACCTAATGGGAAAGATTGTTGGTCCCTGGGGACACCCCCTGGAAGGAGGTGACAGTTTCCAGGGGGGCTCCATGGCTCTCTGACTTCCTGCCATGCTGTGTGATCTCTCCTTCACACATATAACCCTGCCACGATGCCACTCATCTTGAGGTGATGCAGTCAGGGGGCCCTGGCCAGAGCTGGTGCCATGCTACTTGGACTTTCAGCTTTCAAAACTGTGAGGCAAACAAACGTCTTTATCTTACTAATTTCTCCACCTTGGGAATTTTGCTTCAGTAATGGAAAACAAGTGGACGCGGGCGTCTTCCCAGGAGGACAATGGCTCACAGCACTCATTGAGGCCATGTAGGATGACACCCAAATCAAGTCTGTTCCAGAGTAAGCATCAATGGTGGTGATGTGTTGGAATTACTTTCTTGGAACAGGAACCTGGCTGGAGAAGGAGGCTCTGGGCTGTATGCTGCTTGCCACAGGGGAAATAATAGATTCGTTCAACAGATAGGGCTGGGAACCACAGTAGCCATGTCATGGAGCACCTTGGACTACTGGCTCCAGAGTCGGACAGTCTTGGTCTGGATCTCTGGCTTTGCCACTTAACTCAGGCAAATTACTGAACCCCCTGAGCCCTGGGTATCCTGTCTTCTATGTGGGCATTTTATACTCAGGATGTAAACAGGAATAACTGTGTCATACTTGGCTTTCTCCACTTCTTTCATGGTTCCATTCTCCCTTCTCTGTCCTATCCTGTGCCCAGGAGATCCTGTTCCCAGGGTCCCCTGCTGCACCCTTGGGGGCCTCGCTGCTGGTGACGGGCACAGAGACATTTTAGAGGGGACTAAAGAGCATCTGGTGTGAACAGGGCAAAAGTACAGGATCTCAGTGTTGTACCCTATGAGTTTCAAGTCAGCACAGTAGGTTTCCAGCCCAGTGCTCTGGGCACTGTGTCAGAAACAATTAGTACAAGTACAGTTTGGCACAGACCAGGGAGACTTAAAGCTGGCAAGGCGCATTATGTAACCTGATTTATGAAGAAAAGTCCAACTGATCTGATTCGAGATTCACTTTTACCAACACCCTAGGGTCATGTTGTCTGCTTTTATTCCAGACCAGTGGGAAATCCAAATAAGGCATCTGTTTCCTGAGATATACAAAAGCGTTAGTCACACCTGGCTGGGTCAGCTGTCTCCCAGGACTGGCTTTTGGAGGTGTCCATGTGGGGTGCAATAGTGGGCGCAGAAACTCAAGTCATGTGAAAGGATCGTCCCTCAGAGACCTTAGTAATGGGCTACGGAAAAGTCACCTGAAACGTGCATTGTAACGATTGTCATGTGAGATAAAACTGATAGTACTGAAACCAGATCACATGTATAGGTTGGAAGGGCCAGAGTAGAATTTGAATTTGCTATTTTTCAAATGCTGTCTAGAAACAGACAACTGGGCATTGGGTGCTCAGGGGAATGAGCTCACATGAACACCTCTAGAGATTTAGTTTATTCAGCTGAGGGTGCAGGAGCCAAGGGCAGGTCACTTTCTCACATATCCTTGTTTCCCAGCTGCATTTCTAGAACTGGAGCACAAAGCTGTGTTGAGAGGTAAGTGGAGAAGTCTGTCTGGGAAGATTCAGTGTCTGGGAGATGGTAAAGAAAGGTCACCAAGTTTGTTTTCCACCTCAAGGGGAAAGCAGGACTGTGCACAAAGGTCCTACCAAAAAAAATATTTAAATAAAGTGGAAAGATTACAACCCATCCTGTTTGTCTTGTGTCAAGCAGGAAACTGAATCTGGGAGATAAACATCCAGATTTCTGAGCCAGTACAGCGGCTTCCTGCCTTAGTCACTCAGCCATTGTAGGATTAGGATTTGGGGCAAACCCTTCTCTTATCCCAAATTTCCTACAATGTAACGTGGGCTCGATGTCCAGGGAGGGCTGCTTTCGGTGCAGGAAGGTGTCTCCTGTGGCCTGGCCTACAGAGAGGCCCCAAAGCAATGTGCCGACCCCACTGTTGGTGCTGTTCTTGCTGCTGCTATGGTTACAGCCCCCACCTCCCAGCCCCCAGCTGCAGCCTGGCCTCTGGCCCTTAGATTTTGGGCTTATCCTCATGAAAAGCTACTGTGCTGCCAGGAGAGGAAATGGCCCGGAGCCCTGTTCTCAGATAGGGTTCATGACATCAGATTCCCTGCGTGTCTACTCAAGTGAGCGGCTTCAAACAGCGGCCTCTAATGGTCCCCGGGAAGGGCTAAGGCTTCGTCAGCTGAGAGCTGGTTGGCTGTGGATAAATAATTAAACTCCTGCCAGCCCAAAGGTACCATGTAAATTCCTTAAAGCAGCCTCCCTTTTTCTCTACAATGGTACTCTCTCACCCCAATAACCAAGCCTGTGTTATTTAGCCAGAAGCTGGAGTTTTAAAGTTGGACAGCCATTTGTTCCTTTCTGAGCAGCTTTTCAATAGTAGCTGTTTACTGACCTGGCCCAAAAGCTGGAGAGGGTCCCACCTGAGTTGGGAGAAGCCAGGTCCTGTCTTAGCCGGTTGTAGAAAGAGCCACTCCTGTGTCTTTTTGCATACTGTTATCCTCAAGGAAAGAGAGCCACGGTCTCTTGGAAACTTGTCCTATCTGTGTAACATCCTGTTACTAGAGGGCCAGACTTCAGGGATGGAGAGGTACTTTTAAACAACAAAGGGCCACTCCTGAAAGTGTGCAACAATTGGAAAGAGGCCAGTTCCAAGCTCAGTGAGCTCAGAAGACAAGGTTAAGTGGAGGCATGCTATTATTCCAGGATTTTTGAAGCCTGTGGGTCTGGCTTCTGTACAGTCACCTGTGGCTCAGCCCCACCTGCTACTTGTGGATAGAAAACAGTTTAACACAGCTGGATTGTGCAGAGAAGGGGAGCTCTTCTTACTGTGGCTCCTCCCACCTCTGAGCAAGAGAAAACAATTAACTTTTCTTGTTTTGAGGCAGGGTCTCACTATGTAGTTGAGACTGACCTGGAACTCACTGTGTAGTCCAGGCTGGTCTCGAACTCACAGTGATCCTTCTGTCTCAGCCTCCCAAGGGCTGGGATCTACAGGCATGTGCCACCATGCCCAGCAACAATTAACTTTTCTTGTTTTGAGGCAGGGTCTCACTATGTAGTTGAGACTGACCTGGAACTCACTGTGTAGTCCAGGCTGGTCTCGAACTCACAGTGATCCTTCTGTCTCAGCCTCCCAAGGGCTGGGATCTACAGGCATGTGCCACCATGCCCAGCAACAATTAACTTTTCATTCCTCCAATCTAATTGTTAATTGTCCTATGATGCAATGCTCAGCCTTTCCGGTTTTTAGCCTGTGCTTCCTTCCCAGAATCCTTTGTAAAATAGCTATTGAATGAGGGAGGAAGCCAATGGCTTAAATGGCAGAGAGGATCAGACGTCCCTGGGGATGAGCTCCTGCAAGTCATGGGCCTTGTTCCTCTGGCTCCTGGATGCTTAGCTGGGCTCTAGGGTGGCAGCAATCTACGACTGCCTCCTGCCCACCAGGACTGTCCAACTAACCAGCTTCTGTTAGCCAGACTCTCAAACCTGCTTCTGGGTCACCAACTCACCTCTTCCCTGACTCACCAGACCCCAGACCTATGAGGATTGAGAAAGACTAAACCCTGGGCCTCCCCTCCTTGGCCACAGAATTAAGACCCTGGTGCAAGAGTGTGAATACAAGTAGATTATTTAGGAGGTGACACTGGGAAACACTGTGAGAGAGTAAGGAAGTGAACTGGGAAAGGAGAAGCCCCTGAAACCTGCATTATCATGCAAATTGCCACCGTGGACAGCTGGTGCTTAATCACATAAGGGAACTCTGGGAAACCAGTCAGGATGTCTCAGAGTTACAAGCATTCTAATAGCTCATAAAGTTAATTGTGAAGATTAAATAGAATATCCTTGCAAAGTCAATAGTACAGAACCCAGCACATAATGAGGGCTCAACAGATAATAAACACACCCCCGTCCCCCTACAAACCCTCTTGCCCCCAACTCCTTACCAGCTCTTTCCATAGCTTCTTGGGCTGTTTTTCTTTCATGCTTTTGACTATTTCTTCCTTTTCTTTCTCCACTTTTATTTTTACTCCAGGTATTTCCCAAGATCCACTCTCGAACTTTTGGCTTTTTGATGATATTCATTCACATGCAGCGCTAACAGGAAAAAAAGCACTTATGCCCCCTCAAACAGTGTGTAGAGATCTTTCAGGGTACACTCCATGTGGCTCAGGCAAGGGACTGGTGCAGGTCATTTTCAAATATAGTTTTGTCATTTTTAGTGCTCTAGAAGTACAGAAAAAGCAGTTGGGGGAACAGTTTGGTTAAGTTAGTTCCATGATATGAAGAGTTGTAGGTATTTGAAGAACTGAGTATTGCCATACTGTTTTGGTGGGAGTACAAATTTATATGGCCATGTAGAGGCCAACTTGATGGTATTTCTTAAATTTGAAAATGTGTGCTTTACCAAGCAATGATTCTGCTTTTATATACAGACCATAGTGAAATGCCCTCAAATATGCTTAATGCTATTATTAACTGTACTATTGTATTGATAAAGAATCAGAAGGTCTAAATATCCATGAGTCAGACTGTACATGTAAAAAATGATATATTTGTATAATGGAAGAATTTTATGGTGGTTAAAAAGAAATGAACAAGGACTTTGCATATCAATAGGGATAGATCTAAGTTAATAGTTGACAAAAATTAGTGACTGAAAACCACTGACATGTTTTCTATCCTTATAGTTTTATCTTTTCCAAAATGTTGTATGAATGACATTAAACAAAAATGACATTAGCCACCTGAGTCTGGTTTCTTCCACTCGGGATATTTATCTTTGTTAAAAAACAGAATAATGGTAAAGAAAGATAGAGACCAAACTCACAATCATGATAACCTCTGGAAGAATGGAGCAAACCAGGGTTGGAGGAAGGGACAGTAAGTGCTAGCTTGAACAGTAATGCTTAATTTAAAAAAAAACAGATTCTGTTTTGCATGTGTAATTAAAAATTCTATTTATTAATGAGGGAGATAAAGTCAATAATTGCACAGGTCATATAAGAAAATATCCCTAATGTGTGTGTGTGCAAGAGAGAGAGAGAGAAACACTAATATCAGCTGAAGAGAAAAGGAGAAGGAAGCCTTTTTCTTGATTGGAAGTTGAAATTAATAGAGATGTTTAGATACAGGGATTAGCAGAGAAACAGAGCAGAAAAAGGCAAGTCCGCATTCCATGACCCTGGAAAACAGACGAATTGAGAGCAGCACCTGAGTTCCGAGTCAGAGAGAGAAGAGGGAGGAAGAGGAAAGGGTCTTGTTTAACTACAAAGGCTTGAGGACCAGGCAGGCTCTGCCTGAAAGTGTGGGATCAGCCAGTCTCAGATGCCGCTTCTGAGCTCAGAGCCCTAGGGTCACCACAGTCTACAGGCAAGAAGACTGGTGCAGTTTCACCCTGTCCTTCTACCTGTGCCCCATGGCTGGGCTCAGTCATCTCTCATTTGGAGCTAAGTGATTTGAATCATGTTCAGGAGGCACCTCAGTCCTGCACCCATATCCCTGCAGACCTGGGAGCTAGGAGAATTTGTGCTGGATGTGGAGGTCAGATGTGCTATGCAAACAGGAGCCCATGGGAGAACTCTGGAGCAAACGCTGGCACTCTTGATTGATATCCCTTCCTACCCCATCATTTTGTCCTTGGCTCGTGATCCTGGAGCAAACCCAAGGTGGTCCATCACATCTGCTCTGGTACAGGAAGAATTCAATGCAGAACAAGGTCCTTAATCTTTGATCTCACTTTACCTAACTTCTCTCCCTGCATGGCGGCCCTCCTAGGCATTCCCACGGAACATCGAGAGTTACCTCAAGCTCAGGTCGCGTGATACTCAGCTTCCCTCCCTGGCCTGCCTTCCCTCATCATCTCCCTCTTCCTGTTGATGGTGTCAACATTTGTGAAAATCCAGACGGTTACTTTATTCTTTCCCTGTTTCTTCTCAGCTGACATTCTTATTAAAGCCCATCCCTTTTCCTTGCATTTTCCTCTGAGGCATCTCTTTATTTCAGCATCTAGGACACCAAATGAAGACACCATTATCTCTCCTTTAATTCACTCTTTCCCTGTATGTTGCTCTCTGCACAATGCTCTCAGTCACTCCAACCCCTCCCCAGAGTTTATGGCAGCCTCCCTGCCTAGTTCCTGTTTACATTTAGTTGAATTACCCATATGCAAGAAGTCCCTGCCCTGCAGATCTTTTCCCTGTAGATCTTCAAATTTTCTGATAACCATCATTTCTGTTGTAACCTCCTTAATCCTAGCACTCGTCACCCATAAGCTCAGTAACAGCTGGCCTCTGATTTTGATTTTTCCACTCTACATTCCATTGCTGCCCTAATCTTGATTCAACATCATTTCATGAAGATATACCTCAGCCTAAGAATGTATAGAGGCTTAGCCCTTTGCATCACATCAAATTTAAACCTCATAACCTGGCTGTCATCACCTGGCACTGCACACCAATCTTTCCACCCACTTTTACCTTTTCTTTCTTCAGGAACAAGTTCCCTCCACCCTTTCTGTTCTGCAAACATCTTAAGCTTAGTTCTAATTACATAGCTTCCTGAATTCTCTTCCCTTTGCTCACTCAAAGCCTGTTTAATTTCTTAAGATCTATGGGATTTTTACCACTATCTGTCCATGGCTGTTCCATCCTTTATTAATTTTAGATCCTGGGTGCTGGGGGCAACAGGTCAAATTCTACATGGATAGGCTGGAACTAAGAGTCCATGAAGCCTGCAGAGAAAATCCACAGGCCTGCGAGAGAACCCATTACATCAAGGATGTCCTATGAGGCCAGGAGTGTGGGAGGTGAGGGTCCAGCCTGGGAAGTAAGTCCACGGCAGGGGGCTTTCGATCCCAGGGAGATGCACAGATCTTGGTTTGGGAAGAGCCCAGAAGTTATGGCTTCAGGTCACACAGGGAAGATGAGGTTGGAAGAAAACACAGGCAGGAGAATGGAGAAGATCCATGGCTGTGGCAGGCTACCCAACACAATTGTCTTGGTTTGCTTTGTACAGCTTGTGCATTTGCCTGAGCACTGTGTCTTCAATTATGACCACTGTAAATTCCTCCCCTCACCTCTATGCCTGTCATCTTGCCTTAGAAATATGATGCTCATATCTCTTCTTATGTGTGGGCTGACCTGGCGACTGTTTTAGCCAATAGAATATGACCAAAAGTGATCATTTGAGACTTCTGAGATACGATCTCAAAAGGACTGGAAGCTTGTGAGAATTCACAAGACAAGGCGTTTGTATTGATAATTCTGCTGGGCACAGCAGGGATGATCACGCCTAATAACTAGTTTTATTCTATTTGGAACTTTTCAACGTTTCTTTTCCTCTCTCATTTCCTACTGCAAAGTAAAGCTGTAACAGTATTGATGAATTTAAAAGTTTATCTCCAAATATTCCTTCATGCATAGAGGATTGTTTTTTAAATTTAACTTGAGTTGCCAAGAAACAGCAGTCACTATAATCCAGTATATGTGTCTTCTGTTAACTACTTATAGCTTCTTCAAAGGAGGAAACAAAAAGCCACAAACACACACTCAATGTGTTAAATATATGTCAAAATAAACTTGAAGGGGGTTCACAGGAATGCACATGGATAGTGGAAAGGGACACATGAGTCAAAATCTGGTTAGGGAGGAAAGGGATCTTGGCTTGTTCCTGGTGTTGGCAAATGCTTCAAACATTGAGCGTATTTTTTGGTATTGTGTCTGTTTTCTGTGCTTGTGCATCTTGTGATGAGGTCCAAGTGTGAAATAGGGCCTTAAAAAGCACTAATAAGATCATCAAGATTCCATGGATTTGTCTGAGGGCATTAAATTCCTTCACATGCCATTTTTTCTGGAATCCAAATATAGCTAGAAGGTTATTATATTGCCAGTATGGGAGTGTTGTAATTTTTGGTGTGTAGGGACATACTATGGAGACTGGAAAGTAAAAAGATTGAGACAAAAAAGAGCAAAGGTCAATTTAATCTAAACACACTGTAACTGTTTATGAGCTAAAGGACAAGCAGGTTCTGCTACAATAAAAACCAGCATACCCTTGAATTTATGAATTGTAATTAGGGATGGCTGAACCTGTTTGGTCAAAAGAATTTTTCCAACTCTTTTTTTTCCCTCCAGTACTGAGGATTGAACCCAGGGCCTTTGCACTGAGCTACATCCTCAGCCCTTTTTGTTGCAAAACTGCTTAGGCTGGGTTCGATCTTATGGCTTCCTGTCTGAGCCTCCCAGAGTGGTGGGATTACAGAGTAATGCCACCATCCCTGGCTAGAATTTGCCAAGTATTTAAGCCAAAGCCTACTGTTTTGCTGGAGATCTCTCCTTTCCATAAAGATCAAGGTATTGCATCTGATGACTTTAAGCAGTTGGAAAAATCAAAATCAGTATTTCTGGTTCTTGAGCACTCTGGGAGATTTCAAATTAAAGACAAATGGGATTTGTATAGTGTAAAGGTTGCTGGAGAAAGTGGTCAGAGTACACAGAGACCCACATTCTTAGGCTGTGAAGCCAGACAGTCACATTCTGGGCTCTGGGTCATGCACCAGAGTCGGACAAAGCCAAGAGGAGGCTCCTGAAGGTCATGAGAATGTGTGGGAGAGACCAGTGTGGCCAAGAACAGTGCTGTGACCCTGGGTTGGCAGACCATGTGTTTCCCTGAGCCTGCTTTCCCATTTATGAAAGTATAAAATGATGATAGTATCTATCCTGCTTACCTCAAAGATGCCATGAAGCTCTACTGAGAAAATATATGATCTTGGTAGATCATATATCTGCTGCAAACAAAGTATGATGCTCTAAAAAAAAAAATGTAAGATTTCAAGAAGGACTTATTGGGCTCCTGGCTACACATTAGTAGATGGAACCTAGATTTTTTAAAAGTCAGATCATTTTGTGGCCAAAAATTTGTGTTCTTTATCCAAAGGTCTGGATTTATAAAGTAATGGAATACCCCAGAAGTCCCAGTGGGGGTGGCAGAGTGGTGGGATAGGGAGGTAACAACATGGTCTGAGCTGTGGGTAGAGAAAATTCTTCTTCTCCACGTTCTTACTTTGGTTTTGACATAAGTCCCTTCTAATTGCATTAATATGACCATCTGCCAAACCATCAAATTTATCCAATTTTCTCCCCCATCACTCTTCAGCACAAAAAGAAGAAAATTGCATTTGTTTTAAACACACAAGGAACAACCTCTTAACTATCCACTTCTCCACCCAAAGCACGCCACTGGAAATGAACACATTACTAACACCAGAGCGGTAGCACGACCAGAATTACGGGACAAGCCACCATCAGAAATAGTATTGCAAATATAGTCAAGGCCACAATACACACAAGAGCTTTGTCATGTCCTCTTGCCACACTTCCTCTTACCGACATCCTCTGGTAACCGGGACATGATGCCATTGGCCAAAGGTCCCCTTCGGGCTGACATGGAGATCCCCTGCTTCTCATTATAATTAATGGGCTGTGATGGAAACTTGAAACAATTGGCTTTGTGATATAATCATGACACGTGCTTCCTGTGATGAAATCTTCCACGGCTGCAGGAAGTGGGTCATTAAGGAAGTAGCTGTGCACCAGGTCCACAGATGGACCGAAACTGGCAGCTTTAGCTACTCCACCCACAGGTCAGGTCAGCATGTCTGTTACCTCCTTGTCTTGTAAGAACTCAAAGAATTAAGAACTAGTTTGTGTGTGTGTGTGTGTGTGTGTGTGTGTGTGTGTGTGTGTGTGTGTCTGGGGGTTGAACCGGAGTCTTTGCACTGAGCTACATCCTCACCCTCCTTTCTCCTCCTCCTCCTTTTTTTTGAGACAGGGTCTCACTTTGTACACTTTGTAATACAGGCTGGCCCTGGGTTCACTGTGTAGCCCAGACTGGCCTTGAACTCACTGTAATCCTCCTTCCTCAGCTTCCCAAGTGCTGAGATTACAGGTGTGCACCACCATACCTGGCTCGGCCCTTTTTAAATTTTTTATTCTGAGACATCTTGCTAAGTTGTTAAATTGCCCAGGCTGGGCTCAAACTTACTATCCTCCTGCCTCAGCCTCCCATTGTGCTGAGATTACAGATGTGCATCACCGCAGTTGGCCATGAGCTAGTTTCTAGGAAAAATAAAGCACATAATACAGTGTCACTCAAGACTTAAAGCCAAGTCTTCAGAGCTCTTCATGATTCTCAACTCTCTCTTTTCTCTCTCCCTTCTTTCTAACCAGAAGGCAGGTTGTGGAAGGCAATGCTGTCGCTATTATAGGCAAGACCACAGAGACAGGCCCGCAGGCAGGCAGAGGTGCATAAGGAAGGCCAGGTGCCCCAGCCTTAGAGCATTTAAGTTTTCCAGCTCAGTCCCTGGGCATATAAACAGATGAGATGCCTACACTGGAGTTCTTGCTTTCCCATGGCCTAATTTCTTTGCAAGCTGTTTTAACCTTTCTCCCTGAAATTCCTTGCTTTGAGATGGAGTTGAAGTCCAGGACCTTAAGGAGCCCTGCCGGGGGCCTATGCATCTTCACCTGAGGTATTGATTCCTACAGCCCCACACACTTCCCCTTTTCTTGTAGCCCACTCAACTCCTGGACCAGTCTACCGATGCCTGCATATATACCATCACTGCCCTTGCCCACTCGCTCTTTAGTTTTCTCCTGACATACCCCCATGCCAGTGAACCAGTTTCCCACTGACTGTGGTTGCTCCCTGGCCAATGGACGTGGCTGGACCAGAACATCACCTCACCCCCTCCCTTTAATTATATGACCATGAACTTTATTTCAGGTAGGCTTCTAATGCTGCCACCTAAGCCCACATGTTGGCTTAGACAGTTACCGTCCACTGAGAAGGTGGAGGCCGGCAAGCAGGAGCTCAGCTTTCTTCCCTCCATTGTGACAACCTGTGCCAGGCTCTTCCCTTCCTGTTGGGACTGTGAATTAGCTGCCAGCTCCCACTAAAGCTAAGTCCTCCACCTATGCCACAGCCACGGTACCAGGCAAGTGCCTTTTTGTGGAAGCAGCTCTGACCACTCCCTCCTCTCTCTGTATCATCTGTGCTCCCCACTTTCTGGGTCACCTCAATGAGGTGCATGTTATTACCTCTCCCACATTGAAACCTGACTACATTCTTCACCAGCTGCTACCCCATTTCTCAGATCTATTTTTTAGCAAAACTCCTGGAAACAGGTGTCAGCATGGGCTGTTTCCAAGGTTATTCCCATTCTTTCTCAACTCATCCCGTATCAGTTCCTCCCTTGGCATTTTGCAGTGTTGTGGTGCCTCCACTTTGCTCCTGGGTGCCCAGTTCTCGGCCACCTTGAACTCTTCCCACAGCAGATGTGGATACAGTTGGGAGCCTAGTCCTCTGAGCAGTGCAGAAGGACTGCATTACAAGTTACCCCCAAACGAAATGACCTAAAACAAGCACTGCATTTGTGTTGCTCATGAATTTGCATTCTGGATGGGCTGTGGTGAGGACAGCTCATTTCTGCTCTAGTTTACATTGCCTGGAAGAACATGAAGTTCATCTGTTTATATGCCCAGGGACTGAGCTGGAAACTGAAATGCTAAGGCTGGGGCACCTGGCCTTCCTTGTGCACCTCTGCCTGTCTGCCTGCCTGTCTGTCTGTCTCTGTGGTCTTGCCAGCTCAACAGCATTGGAATAGCCAGACACCTTTCACGTTGGCTCCCAAGACACATGTCCCAAGAGAAAGAAGGCAGACAAAAGTATTGCTTTGCCTTTTACCACTGTGCCCTATAAAAGTTCAGTTCTACTTTTACCATAGTCACAGACCTGCCATTTCCACAGGGAGGGAATGTAGTCCCTTTCCATTGATGGAGCAGATTAACATCACACTGTGAGGGGACAGCGTCCTGCCCTCTCTAGAGAACTCAGTCAATGGCATGTGGCAGCCTGAGTGTTGGTTTCACCTGTCCCACCGTAGTTCTTCCTCATTCTGCCTGGCTCATTCTGGATCTTTCCCACACCTTAAATTTGGAGTCCCCAGGGCTGTGTCTTTAGACTTCTTTTTTTATTTTCCTCTCTTTCTTGGTGATCTCAAAGAGTCTCATGGCATTAAGAATTACCTGTATTCCAGTGACTCTCAGGTTTGTATGTGCAGACTGAATCTCTCCTGTGCATTGTCTGCCCAATATCCCTTCCCAGATGTCTAATAGGCAGCTCAGACTGAACATATGAAAAACAGAACTCCACTGGATCAGGCTCCCCCTGCACCTGTGATCTCACTGCTCACACCTTCCACCAGCTGCTGAGCTAGTGGTGTGGGCTTTGCCTTCAAAACACATCCAAGATCTAATCTATTTATATCTTTTTTTTTTTTGGTAGCGGAGATCGAACTCGAGTCCTTGCGCTTGTGAGGCAGGTGGCGGAACCACTGAGCTAAATCTCCAGCTCTCCTGTTTATACCTTAACTTCTGTTGTCCTGGTCCAAGTCTCCTCCATTTCCTCTTACAATTACTTTTTTCATTCAGCACTAGAACTCTCTTTGGTTACTGCTGTGTATTCTGCTATAATTTCAATAAATGAGTTGGGAACAACTTAGAAATTATGGCTGGATAGTATGTGCATTTCATAGCTGTCCCAGATGCCCTACTGTGTGTGTCTCCTTTCCAGTTCAAAACAGCCCCTGGTGGCTTGTGATGAGGTGGACAGCAGCATCCCCTTCCAGGGTCTTGAGGCTGGCATTGCTTGTGGTCAAACCAGGGTGAGGAGCAAAAGTCATTCTATATAGGCAGAACTGGGAGATTCTAGTTCAGGGGTTTTTAAAACAAATTCTGAACATGAGCCCATTTGAGAATTTTGTAGAAGTCACAGTCATTCTCCAAACAAAAGCAAATACATCTATCCCTGAATCCTTATATCCAAAGCTCTTGGGCAAAGATCTGTTTCCTAAAATAACCAAGGAAGGGCTGGGGATTTAGCTCAGTGGTTCCGCTGCCTGCCTTGTAAGTGCAAGGGCCCAAGTTCAAACCTCGGTACCAAAATAACAATAATAATGATAAAATAATAATAATAATGATAGCCAATGGAAATTCTATGGGAAATAGAATATACAAAGTCACATAAACTTAAAAAGTCAGCATTTTCTCAGTTAGAATATTTTCAAGCTTACCTTAGAAGATTTTCGAAAGAAAAAAACAGTGCTTTCCTTTTGCAGACAGGTAATTCATGATTTCAGTTGCACAACTGATCATAATCTGGTGACCATACTTTTCAACTAGAATAGACATAAAACTTAACTATACAAATGTTATGTGTTTAACCAGTGCACTGATTAGAGTGATTCTATTTAAGTTTGCATTGAATTGTTTAGTATTATTACAAATATTCAAGATTGGCCAATACAGCAAACTCTGGACTTCTAGATTTCTTTTGAAAATACCTGTGCATTTTAAAATTTACATAGAGGACTCCTATCTATTATATTTTCATTTATTGTATAAAGTACAAAATGTCTTTCATGATAAATATACTGGTTGTGCTTCCTAACTTTTATGTTCATCTATCTTTAGAAATATTGATTTTTTTCTGTTGAAATTACACAGAACAAAAATCTTGAACATAATTTTTGTATTCTGCTTTTAGGTCAACTTAGAAAAATATGAAAATATCATACTGGAGAATAATATTAAGGAACTGACTACTCAGAATATAAAAGTATAATAAAACTTTGGGAGAAAACTAGTATTCTAATGTTTATGAAAATGTTCCTTTTAAAATCGGTGTTATTTTATAACTATAAAATTCTGTTCAAGAAAATATTAATATTTTAGCACATGCCTGTAATCTCAGCACTTGGGAGGCTGAGGCAGGAGGATCACTTCGAGTTTAAGGCCACCCTAGACTACACAGTGAGTTCAAGGTCAGCTGGGACTATATAGAGAGATTTTATCTCAAAAACAACAACAACAAAAAGTGTATTTTAAAGTGAAAAACAAAACTAACATAAACAAAATAAACCAAGCTGTGTATGACGGTATATGCCTTGTACTTCCACCACTCTGAGAGGCTGAGGCAAGAGGATCACAAGTTTGAGTCCATCCTGGATCACTTAGTGATACCTTGTCTCAAAATGAAAAAAAAAAAATGTTTTTAAAAGGGCAAGGTAAGTAGCTCAATTCAAAGACCCTAACTTCAATCCCCAGTCCTAAAAAAAGAGGAATAAAAACAAAAGAACACAATTGCCTAGTTATGTTTTAATCTTTAGGCACATTACAGTGGCTGTAGTTTCAGGAACTTAATGAACACTTGAGTGGCTGATTATTTTTAAATGTATTTGTAAAGATAGATGTTGAATTATTTGCACTAACACATATCTAATTAATCTCTGTTACTCTAGGGAAGTATTAGAAATAATTACAGTGGTAAGAGTACTCTTTCATGTAAGAAATTACAAACAAGATTATCAAATAAATTCTTTTGGGTATCAAAAAACTAAATT